TATATCTAGCGATACTACAATACTATGTATAGTAATTATTTCGTTAGGTACGTAGTTAGTCTATGTAGTATACTACTATAGGTTTAGTTCGTATATATATATATATATATATATATATATATATATATAAATGAGTCATAATAAATTGTTTTTTTAGGCTGAAAGGAAGCTAAAATTGCCTAATATTTTAGGGAAATTCGAATACATTTTTTTCGGAAAGAATTGTGCAAATAGACTAAAACTTTCCTATGTGTCTTTTTCATGCAAGCTACCTGCATTGAGAAGGATCTACTTTTAGATTTTTTTATTCAAAACAACAACATTTACATTTGTTTAGTTTACTTTCTAGTTTATGTTGAGTTTATGCAACTTTTCATTGGGTCAAGTGTATATATCTAGTTATTGTGTACAAAATTAATTTGAAATATCTACAAAAAAAGAAAAAATAGTCATTATTACATCTGCATGTTTTTATAAATGAGCGTTTTTTTACTATTTAGATTTATCATGTAGTTTAGATGAAAGTAGACACATTGGTTGTTAGTATGATGAAACATTAGATGAAAGTGGACACATTGGTTGTTAGTATGATGAAACATTAGATGAAAGTGGACACATTGGTTGTTAGTATGATGAAACATTAAATGAAAGTGGACACATTGGTTGTTAGTATGATGAAACATTAGATAAAAGTGGAGACATTGGTTGTTAGTATGATGAAACATTAGATGATTTGAACATTTCAAAATTAAAAAAATATGGTTTTATGTATAAAGCAATAACATTTACAAAAACATGTGCTTTTACTGTATGTACATTGGTTATTTTACATTCTATATCCAGTTTATTTCTGTCTACGATGTTTGTAGGTCTCTACTTCGCTATATTCCAACTTTTTGAAATAAAAAAATGCACATCGCACTTTTGTACAAAATGATAAAATTTGCATACACCATAGCAGGTTCGATTATATCTGCTTTTTATTTCTTTTATTAAAATGGATTTATTGGATTCAATTGCGAAGTATTTCGTAATACATAACGTTTAGCTGTAATTTAATAATTCGTCTTAGTCATAATACAAATAAAGACAGATCCAGGTTCTACGGCATAATTAATACAAATAAAGACAGATCCAGGTTCTAAGGCATAATTAATACAAATAAAGACAGATGTAGGTTCTACAGCGTAATAGAAATATAGACAGATCCAAGTTCTACGGCATAATACAAATAAAGACAGATCCAGTTCTACGGCATAATTAATACAAATAAAGACAGATCCAGGTTCTACGGCATAATACAAATAAAGACAGATCCAGGTTCTACAGCATAATAGAAACATAGACAGATCCAGGATCTACGGCATAATACAAATAAAGAAAGATCCAGGTGCTACGGCATAATACAAATAAAGACAGATCCAGGTTGTACAGCATAATACAAATAAAGACAGATCCAGGTTATACAGCATAATAGAAATATAGACAAATCCAAGTTCTACGGCATAATTAATACAAATAAAGACAGATCCAGGTTCTACGGCATCATACAAATAAAGAAAGATCCAGGTTCTACAGCATAATAGAAATATAGACAGATCCAGGATCTACGGCATAATACAAATAAAGACAGATCCAGGTTGTACAGCATAATACAAATAAAGACAGATCCAGGTTATACAGCATAATAGAAATATAGACAGATCCAAGTTCTACGGCATCATACAAATAAAGAAAGATCCAGGTTCTTCGGCATAATCAATACAAATAAAGACAGATCCAGGTTCTACGGCATCATACAAATAAAGAAAGATTCAGGTTCTACAGCATAATAGAAATATAGACAGATCCAGGATCTACGGCATAATACAAATAAAAAAACAGATCCAGGTTGTACAGCATAATACAAATAAAGACAGATCCAGGTTATACGGTATAATACAAATAAAGACAGATCCAGGTTCTACGGTATAATACAAATAAAGACAGATTCATGTTCTACGGTATAATACAAATAAGGATAGATCCAGGTTATGCCACATAATACAAATAAGGATAGATCCAGGTTCTACGGCAACGAACACGTTTCCTTCTGAAATCTCAGGATTAACTAGGCAAAAAAAAAGCCCCTGATTTCTCAAAATCCATCTTTTTCTTCATTTTTAAACAGAAAATTTTCTGACTTTTTATATTATTAGTTCAATCATCAGATGTTCTACGTATTTTATACAACGATGAATGAAATCAACACGATAGCTTCGTTCAAAACGTACTTACAGTAAGTTCACTTTGTTAATGACAGTATTTCTTCAATAAACACTGTCGAATCACATCTTTTGTTACTAAAATAAGCCCATTCTTGAGCACGTCTATATTGTACAATTGCTTTCGTTTATAATAATAATGTTTTCGTTTTGTTTTGATGAAATTTGTACATTATGTTTATAGATATCATGAAAAGCTTTTCATTTTTCTTAATTCGCGAGGTGAAGTTTTATACATTGTCATTTAACAGCACTTGCTTGCACTATAAAAGCTTTAATGGTTATTGGACTATCTATAGAAGCACCGAGTTAAATATCCCTTTAGGCTGACTTCGTTGTAGCTGTATATAAAAAGGCACACATCCATTGTTCTTTACTGTCGATATGTGAGTTCCTCTAATTATCATATAACGTATAGTTTACTTCACAGCACGAGGAACAATCTCAGGGTCCGTGTAATTTTGGAACGACATCTGGTGATTGCAATTCAAGAAGTTAATTAAAATTTTCCAACACTTGCCCTATAGACTACAGGTCATTTTTCCTAGAACAAACATGTCTTTTTTTCATCTTCTATAATATTTTAAGCTGCTGTCATCTTCTTCACTAATTTCTAGCTTTGAGAGAATAATAAACTAGCATGCCATATTTACCGATATTTAATAACAGTGACAGTCTTTAATTAATCAAATTCTTATTAACAGACGTAGATAAGTATGAAATGAAATTGAACATTTTCTGTGCTATATCGAAGAGAGTTAACTAAATGAACAATGTTAGATACAATTTAACAAACACATGTTAGATAAAGGCGTATTTAGACAGACGGAAAATTGCACAGATGAATAATTAAATAGTTGGACGGATAGACGAACAGACAGACAGATAGCTGTACAGATGGATGGTTGTATAATTGTATGTAATTATTTGCTTGGTTCGGATGTTTGCACAAAGCTCCATCAAGGACTATCTGCGCTAGCCATCTCTCATTTTGAAACGATAGACAAGAAAGAAGACAACAGCACGACCAACATATCTTGGGCTACTCTAACTGAATAGTAGGACTTGACCGTTTCTCTTATAACGCACCCATGGTTCCAAATATTTTTCGGCAACGAGAGGAGAGCCACGAACTCTCGGATTCACAATCCAACACGTCTACCACTATGCAACATCATTACGCATAACTGAATTGACTGTTACTTTTATAACATATCCACATCTAAAAATGCAGAACGTGTTCAGCAGCATCACTTCTCGATTCCCAAATCCTTCGATCCCGGGACACTAACCATTAAGCAGTGCCCAGTTCCTTCTTATCGGGCAGTGAGATTACAGATTTACAACTTTAAAATCCGGCATTCGATTTCCCGCGGTGGGCAGAGTGCAGGTAGCTCATTATGTAGCTTTGCACTAAAAGAAAACAAACCCTCATAATAACGAACCTTAATTCGTTTAAATATCTATTTGACTACCTTCTTTGGATATAGCAGACCTCCTCATCGTTTATAGTGCTTTTCCATTCACTGAAATACAGAACCCTTAATATTTTTCTTACCTTTCAATCTCGTATTATTACTAGGGTTGTTTAATATATAGAAACTTAAATCAAATAAACACACACACACAAAAGAACAAGCTGAAAACGTTTTTTATTATTTTTCTATACAAAGCTAGAATATCAGTTATTAGATAATTATATGTGCATTTAACCCGTGATGACAATTCAAATCGACCAATAACACAAACTTGTTCGTGCTTCGGTAAGTCGTTACTCTAATGTAAGTCTCATCTCATTACTGGTTATGGGGCATTTTACGCCTACTGACATACTTAACACAGAAAGAAGCAATAAACAAATCAATATTATTGAGCATGAGTGTTCACAGCCAACGCAAATAAGAAAGCAATAACGTCTAAAACGTTGCTGTTTACGAGGAATGTTGTGTTCCATCGCTCATCAGGGGTAGAAATCGTCCCTAAAGCACAGCCGTAATAGATTTTACACATTCTCACTATCGTTTATTAGCGCCTTCCACATTATACTGTATTCTCATCAGTTTTCTTCTTGGTTGATGCAGGACTATTTTTTCACTAAGAATGATAATTATATATTTTCTTAGTTGTCCAATCAACAGTACGATGTTATTAGACAAAGTGAAAAGTAATTAATAAAAGCCTTTTCTAAGAATTTTTCATGCTTACGACACTATAGATTGTCTTATTGAGTTATGTGATTTTTTTTTCAGAGGATGTTTACACTCATGAGACTATATTTAACAATGAACCGGTCATCCTTCACATTCTGGACAGCGCAGGTCACAGTCACGTAAGTAATATAAAGCATTTGGCTTTATATTAAAAGGTTATCATTTGAAAACGGTCAATAAATAATTATGACAATGATAATGGATGCTTGGATAATGTGCTCTTGTTGCACGAAAAACAAAATATGTAGAAGGGCTACACTGATGATTAGCACCCCGAATGATAGTGCCGACGTTTTTGGAAGAGGATAGTGTAATATTAAAGCAAAAGGGTATAACTATGGTGAAATGAAGGGGAAGTAAAGTAGGGAGGGCTGCTAAGATTAAAAAATACTAATAATAAAGTTTAAAATAAGGAAAGTATAATTATCGACAATCAAACAAATCTCAAACAGTGATGATGAGGCTAGTGTTATTAATGAGAAGTACACAAATAATTTGAAAGAACAAACTGAGTTAAACCAAAACCTGTGAAGCAGAACGAAGACGAAAACTAAAGGGCTGGTAAAAGAGTAGCCCAAGAGTTGGCGGTGGGTGGTGATGACTAGCTGCCTTCCCTCTAGTCTTACACTGCTAAATTAAGGACGGCTAGCGCAAATAACCCTCGTGTAGCTTTGCGCGAAATTCAAAACAAACAAACAAACAAACGAAACTAAAGGAACAAACACAGTCGAGCACAGATCTGTGAAGCAAAGCCAAAAAGAAATTGGGGGTACAAATCCAGCTGTACCAATACCTTTGAAGCATAACGAAGACGAAACTAAAGAAATGAACACAGTCGAGCACTTATCTGTGAAGTAAAACCAAAAAGAAATTGAAAGTGCAAATCCAGCTGTACCTGTGAAACAAAATGAAGACGAAAAATCATAGTACAGAGCTGAGAAGCGAAACTAAAAATAATACATGGGTGTAAATCCGACTGAGAACAAAGCTGTTAAGTCGAACTAAGAAGAAAACGACGTACAAACAGAGTCGAATATTGTGTGAAGTCGAACTAAGAAGAAAACTAGACATCCGAGCACAGCCGAACATAGAGATGTGACAAGTAGAACTAAGAAGAAAACTAGACATCCGAGCACAGCCGAACATAGAGATGTGACAAGTAGAACTAAGAAGAAAACTAGACATCCGAGCACAGCCGAACATAGAGATGTGACAAGTAGAGCTAAGAAGAAAATAAATCTCTTAACGTCAATTATTTTTGTAGAAAGAACTTAAAAAAAAACACGAAACTAAATTGTTCATTCAAAGATAATTTGGTTCACATTAAATGGTGCTTGTGGTCTAGAAAGATGTGTTGGTTGGAGACTAAATGTGATACACAATCTGATGAACATGTTTAGTCTTTCAATTATTGGTGGGGAAAAAATGTAATTTTATCAATTTTTCTTTTTTTTTCACTCGCGAAATGGAACTTATTATAAAATGAAGGAAATACTTATCAGTCAAACAAAGAAAACATAATATATGTTGAGATCGCTTATTTTTAAAACTAAAACATAATTATTAAACCAAATGTTCAGTTATCAAAAACAAAACTAAAAAAAGCATTTTTGAAACTTTTTTTTACCAAGTTCTGTATAAATCGGTGTCAATATTTCTCTTATAAAAGTTAAAACTAATAAGGACTTTAATTATAAACACGTATAATGGAACTATTAAATGAAACGTGAATATATAATCACGTGTAATAATATGTTGCTTATTTCTGAAAGGCAATTTATTTGTTCTGGCACTATATAGAACATATTAAATATTAGTTTTATGCATTACTATATTCATGATTTCGGTTTTAATAATCGTACCTTTTAACAATACATTAGAACATATATTCACTTGTGATAGGTAATCGTTTGCTTTAAGATAAGAAATATTGATTGACGTCATACATCTCTGTTGTACTATACTATAGAAGTAAAGCTGACAGTTATACTAAATTTCCGAAAAAATCAATCTAACTATATCACAAATAAAAATACTAGATTCATACTATATTTATGGACATTCAATCTAATTATATTAACTAGGTAAGACCAAATCTTTGGACATTCATTTATGCCAAAGACATGGGGCTAACGGCTCTACTAAATATCTAGACATTAAATTTTAAATATACCAAAGTCATGTAACATGTGTATTAGATCTTTGTTGTTTGTTACTATTCTCATTTATCTTAATGTTAGAATATCATGGTTTTCAGATTTTAAATGAACCTTATCACTATATGTAATATGTGTTATTCAAGTAAAGTCTTTATATTTGTAACAAAGAGGGGGTGGTTATATATTTGCATTATATTTCTTGACATACATCACTATTGAAAAATCAGAACACTATATCAACTCTCAACTTTTCATGAAAGGATGTGGAGGAAAAGTGCAGCTTTGGTTTACATTTTGTACTTATTTACATCCCGTCCCACCAAACATGCTCGCCCTTTAAGCCGTGGGGGCGTTATAATGTGTCGGTAAATCCCACAATTCGTTGGTAGAAGAACTGGTAGTTGGGTGGTATTGACTAGCTGCCTTTTGTAAATTCTAACACTTCAAAATTAGTAACGGCTAGCGCAGAGAGCCCAAGGGTAGCTTTGCGCGAAATTCAAACCAAAAACTTATGTTCATAATTATAGCATCAGCCTCATTATGGAACATGATAAGTCTAATGTTTAGTGTGTCTTCTTTCACCATTGCCACCTAGTGACACAGCGGTATGTCTACAGACTTACAACACTAGAGACCAGGTTTCGATACCCGTGGTGGGCGGAGCACAGATAGCCCACTGTGTAGATTTGTGCTTAATTCCAAACAAACAAACCTCCAGCTGTAAATATGCAGCCAGTTTTGGAGATTGTATGTAAACCATTATTTCTTTCCTTTTTGTTTTTATTGTGCAGTCTTTCATAGTTGCCAAATATTAATTGGTTTCTCTTTTACAACATTAATTTCCATCTTGTACCACAAATTTTCATTTGGATTAGAGTCGTTATTTAAGGGCTGGCCATTTATAACAGCAGCTATTTTCTTCTCGATTCACCTGTTATACAGCACGAGAATATTTTATTAGAATCAGCGTTCTGCTAGGGCCATTTAAATACCACCTGTCCATTGGGTATTGCACAGAGGTGTGACTCCTACTCCTGCGGTTTTATAGGAAGATTAGTCTTTTGTTTTTTGACTCAGACATGTGATTGGTGCTGTAGAATTATTAGGTTCTTAGAAACATTTATGTAAAAAGAGTTGGAAATACTTTTCTTACCAGTAAATCTAATATAATAATACTGGCTATTGTTTTTTTATTAGCGTACAATTTAATGTTATCTCCAGCCAATTTTTACAACATCTATACTCCATTTTGAAAGAGTGCATAACGTTGTTCAGCTTTTCAACAAGTATTACTTCTAATCGCTTTCTGCACCCTAATCTTCAGTAAATACTGGAGTACGTGACCTGACGTCTATACATAAAGAAACCCTTACCATGGTCAGCGACTCCTACAAATTACAGCTAAGGCATAATAAAGATTGTTACCAAATGTCTCTTTATATGGCTGCACTTGAGACGGTCTCCTTTCTATAATCTTTTTTCTATTCATCAATTTTAAAGATCACTCAATGATAATCCTTACCACCAAAATATCGTGTTAATATAAATTGATTTATCAAAAGATTAGTTGTCAGACTTCTAGAGTGATATTTGGTCTGAAAACAAAAAAGGTCAACGTATGTATCTGGCAGTGCAAAGGCTACATTTTTATAAAATAATAAACCTGCTTCACCAGCCCATAGTACATTGTCTCGTTTATCTCTTGTTTGTTTCATTGTTACACAAGAGCTAACTGAGCATAGTCGTCCCTAATTTTGAAATTATAGACTAAAGGAAAGGCAGCCAGACATCATCATTATGAACTGATAGACTGGAGCAGTGGTTTTCAAACCTGATTCTTCCAAGACCACCTGATTTTGTTTTTATCTCGGAAGACCACAATAGGATCTATACACTATACTAATGTTTCCTTTCCGTAACTGTTCAACATTTTCATGGACCACAGATTGAAAACCTCTAACTAGAGATATGACTATACAAGAGCACACACAACTACCTCTTGTGTCAATCTTGTATGATCAAATCGCGGGACTTGCACCCACGGCTTCAAAGTACAAAGCAAGTTTTTGAGGCAGTGGGTCAAGAACCATGAATTATGTGATTCACAGCACGGGTACGCTAACTAATACGTCACGTCTGGTCCCCTTTTCTCCTTTAATATTATTTAACCTTTGCATCGTTTGGAGTATTTGTTGAAACCAGGTGCGCATCTGTCATAACATTCCTATTAACTGAGAAAAAAAAGTTGAGATATTTATTTCTAGATCTATAACATTCTTCTACAGTGGCGCATTTATGTATTGAAATTTTTTGCTTGTTTCGTAAAATCCTCAAATAATAAAATAACTGTTGTTAGGTTTGGGAAATTAAAAATATTCTAGAAATTTTTCTATTTTAATATTGAAACTCTGATTCAAAAGAAAATGACGTTTATGAAACACACAGGTTATTTTAAGAGTGTTGATTAAATAGACTTTTTACAATCATAACTGACTTCCCAGAATTAGGAGAAAATATTTAGATAGAATTTTTCTCGGGATATATAGTCATCTTATAAAAATATGAGTTTTAGTGTTCCAAACATAGTCAGTTTATTTGAATACGTTTTCTCAATAATTCTGTAAGTTTTGTAGATATTTAAACATTTTTATTTTTGTATAGGACACGGAACCTTTCTTCATGGAGTCTAATATTCGCTGGGCTGATGCATTCATTCTGATGTATTCTGTTACTGATAAATGTAGTTTTGACGAATGTAACCGCTTAAAGTTTCTCATCAATCTTTACAACAAACGATGCCGAATTTTGGGAGCCCCTATATTTCACGGACTCATTACCGAAGTTCCTGTATTGTTAGTTGGAAACAAGGCTGACCAATATGACGACAGAATGATCTCAAAAATGGAGGGAGAACGTCGAAGTCGCGAAATAGGCTGCGTGGGATTCCACGAGATTTCTGTGCGGGAATCAATAGATGACGTGGAAACCGTTTTCAAAGACCTATACCACCACTGGAAAACATGGAATAAGACAAGCAAAATAAGACGTTGTTCTAGTGATGTTGGTTCAGGACAGCCAATTAAGAGACTTTCAGTTTTCAGCAAAACTCCTCTGCTTAGCTTTCAGGAAGAAAAGGATCGTTTTGAATCTGAAACAAATGTCCCAGAGCAATCTGGTATGACGTTGAACGAATCTGTGCCGTTTACATTCCGAGAACGCGCTTGTACCGATGGAACGTTACATACCCCCGCTAGATGGCGCCTCAGAAACACCAGGTTTCACAGTGCAGCCAGCTCTCCACTTCAAATTCGTCGAATGAGTATCAGTATGCGAGGAAGTGAATCAAACTAGCCTAAAGTCAGTTTTATTGACTCTTTACGTAGCTTGGAATATTTGTTGAAACCAGATGGCGCACCTGCATTTATATTCCTAAATAGTTATATTAAAAGATGTTGTTGTTATTGTTGTTGTCGTCATTGTTGATTGTTTTAATATAAAGCGGATTTTAGCGTTGTAACTCCATGAACTTATCGCTGATCCTCTGTGGGACTTATTGAAAGAAAATATTTTTGTGAATGTTTCATAATAACGAACTGCGAATTAAGTATATGAACATTTATGGGTGTATTTGAAAATTCACGATACATTTTCTTTCAATGGCTATTTTTTTGTAGAACACCGTTTCTATCAAACAGAAAAAAGTTTGCTGATAATATCCTTTCCCTGCTGTTTACTTGTTAATATAATCTAAATGTTTTATTTTTCAATTCTTATGAAAATAAGTATCAATGGTGTTATTTCCTCTTGATTTATAAAATATTTTATGTACTTATAGCTCACAATAAAATGATACAACTACAACCAACTGTTTCATCCTTTAAAACACGACCAATGTAACCATACAAAGTAAACGTGTATTCAGCTGCAAATATTTAATTATCTCAGCAGCAAGTTTCCGTTTCATCTTAGAATTTTAGGTACGAACAAGCTGTATAAAACTTAAAGTAATTAATGAACATAAAACTTCTCTCTCGATACTTCGTATATGAACTTTACGATTTATTTACAAGCAAAAACTTTCATAACGATCGGACTTTTATGAGGAAATATTTAATAAAAAAGGGACTATGAAAATTTGAACACACCTGAAATTCACGGGTATCGAAACCTGGTTTTTATCGTCAATAAGCAGGAACGAAGATGAAGCTAGAATCATCTTTATTTTATAGATTATAATGATGCTTGTTTGTTTGTTGTTAAGCACAATGGAGATTGAATCTTGAATTTTAGCATTATAAACCCTCAAGATTTGAATCATTTGAAGGCGATATAATGAAGCAGCTATAAAATTCTAAATTTTATTTTTTTATATTTATTCCCCACCATAATTTCAAAGATTTATAATTTCCAAATAATAGTCTTGTAGCTTATTAAGTTGGTGCGTTAATTTTGAAAGAGATCTAACAAATCCGAGATCAAATTATTGCTATATACCACAATTCAAGTTTTGAAAACCTTTTTTATTCAAAAATAGGTAAGGCTGAAGAAAACTTTTCACATACATAATGAGCTGTAACATGATTTATTTTCTATTTTTTGAAATGGAATATTTATTTTTGCATAAGTAGAAATACAAATACGTAATAACAGAATAGTGTATATTACATACTAAACAAATGTTTGCTTTGGAAATAAAAAAACGCGTCTCATTTTGACAGAGTGTGTAAAAAAGTGTTTTATATACGACTTTAAGTTCGAAAATAATAATGTTTTGTACATAAAAATCATAAAAGCGGAAAGCAATAAATTGTATGACTAATTATTTATTTTATAAACATATTAATATTTTAATGTCAATAGTTACCACAAGATGGGAGCACAAGCAAAGAGCAAATAATCTAACTAGTGAATAATGACAAGCCTATATTTATCAAAATACATATTAATTATTTTAAACTGTTTCACCAGAACTTAATAACTTCTTAGATGAAAGTCTCATTTAATTCTTAACGTTGGCAAACGCCCGTTTCCATTGTTCCAGTAACAGTAGAAAATATAAAGGTTATTTTTTGGTTACACTTAATGCGATATTAAGATTAATACCCCTAACACAAAGAATAGGCAAATAAGGACTTACAAATTACAGAGGATAATTAATCAAAGAAACAACGCAAAGATCTAACAAATAAAAACTGAAAACATGAAGTAAAATTCTTGACAAAATGTAAAGTTAGTAGAAAACATAGAGAGAGAACTAGAGATGTTAAACAAATCCTAACAGGATAGCTAAATCAGGATAGAGGAGGAAGAAAGAAACAAGAATGCTCTACAAATGAAGGTGTATAAGAACTGTAGAAGTATAAGAGATGGTGTAAAGAAAGAAAAACAAATGTTTAACAAATAAACGCCAAAAAGTTTCAAGATTTTTAACTGAAAAGCACATGAAAATATTTTAATAATAACTTAAAAGCTCTGCTAGACGCCATAGAGACTCTTTTTAACAAATAACGGATATAAATCCACTCACTGCTCAAAGCTAGACGAGTTCGTTAAGAAAAAATGTCAGTGTAGACAAAGTAACTAACAGTGCTGCTGGAAGAGAGAGCTCTTTGTTAAGGAAAAATAGTTTTTTTAGCATTGAAAAAATGTATCTTTTTAAAGCAGTGCTGAAGGTTAAAAACTTTTGCAAAGGACATACAGCTGACCAAAATAAGACCAAGAAGCAATGTTGAAAATTATAAATTCCCCTTACGAAAACGAAGTGCTTGTAATAAAGTTGTGACTACCGGATATCAGAGTGAATAGACATTAGTCCCTCTATCAAAATCGAATCCTAGCCATTACTGCCACAGAAATAGTATTTCTCAGGACTTTCCTGAAGATGGCAACACCTTATCAGCCGAAACTAAAGACAAACAACTAGATAGTAATTAATTTCTAGTAATTGTATACAAAATATATTAGTAACTAATTGATAATTAGACTTAATTGATCGTATAGACTATCAAGTATGACAATGGAGGAAGGAGAGCTTAAAGGTCTGACAAAACATGGGACATAAAGACAAGGTTTGATACCTGATATAGGTTATAGGGGTGAAAAATCAGGGTGTTGAAACACTGTTGAAATTCAAAGATGTTTCAAAAGAAAAGAAAGCTTATAATGTTGATAAAAATGGAATCATCGGAATCGAGAGAAACAAAAAAGTTGAATAAATACCGAAAGGTAACAATACCTCCTTGTTAAAGAAAGAAGGGTCAAAGTATTGACAAAAAAAAAGAACTTGTAAGCATTGATAACACTTAAAAAAAGAAGTGTCTGAGAAAACTTACGAGAGTTACTGATGAAGGGTGGAATTCCCTGAAACCAGTATAAGTTCGTGACAAGAGATGATTCAAATGTTTGATTGGGCTTCATAATTATTTTTAGTATTTCAAACAGTTTGTCTGATAAATAATTTAAAAGCAGAAACTAGTAGCATCCAAATCGTATGTAGATTCTAAAGCGAATAATAAAAACCAGAAGAAAATAGATACAGTAATGAGACTGAAATGTCGCTCAAAGACTATTCCCATGGTACACTTCAAAAAAAAAAAGCTTTCCAATTTTAATTTAAGAAAAGGTATTTATCGTTCTGATTTTATGACATTTTGACATGTAATGCTACTTTCTCATCATGTTTCTATACTCGTTTTGTTTTGTTGTCTTAGACTTTTTGAAAAACATTTAAGGCTGTGTTTTATAGGCTTTACCATGATTTTTAACCATTTAAAGTTGTGCTTTATAGGCTTTACCACGATTTTTAAACATATAAAGCTGTGTTTTCTAGGCTGTACCACAATTTTTATCCTCTGCTTAAAACTAACAAATATTACAAATGATTAATTTTTATCCCCTTGCGCTTTCTAGATATTTTTGTTTTAGAAACTGGATTTAAAAAACAATAAAATATATTTTTTAAATATGTTTTATAAAATGTACTTTTATAATTTTTCATCTAGGTTAGGTTGTTCTTAAGCACAAAGATAAACAATGGGCTATCTGTAACCTGCTCACCACGGGTATCGAAATTCGGTTTTTAGTGTCGTAAGCCTGAAAAGTTACAGCTGAACCACCGGGGGAGGGAGGCTTAAAAAAATATGCGCAATTTTAGTTTCTTATCACTTTTAATTTAACGAAAAATGGATAACTTTTGTTCTGCTATACAGAACAATATTAAATGTTTTGAAAGAAATGGGATTTTCTTTTCCATATGCTGGATAAACGTTATAAGTTCAAATGTAGGTTTTCGAATGATACGATGCTTTTAACACTTAACCAGAACGTTCTAGACTATGAAACACAATACTCATAAATAAAGCATTAGAGATTGTAATAGCGTTGCCCCAATAAATAATATTTTTCTGATCCCTGGGCCGTCACCACTCATGATGATTAGTTGATGATAACATTCTGGTGGAATTTCAATAGTTTCCTTACGGAATATTTACTTTTTCCTATAAATGCATTACCGTTGTCATGGTATAAAACATGTAGTGCTTTTAGAAATTCTGTAAGCTTTCAATACGCCCAGACCTCACGTGGAAACAGTATCTATTACGTCCTGAAAGCTATACAACTCGCGGTGTAACAACCATGTCTCATTGGATATCTTACGATATTTCATTTTAACTTGTTTTAGAATTTATCGTTTTGACAGATTATCATTCTTATAGTGAACAGGGCGTTTGCTTATTCTTTCTTGTATCTTTATGGGAATTCTTTCCGAACATCGCACCCAACACCTTGGAAACTGTCATGATGCTCCTCTTTCTCTGTCTAGGAAGAGATCTTTGATGCCGAGAAGTTCTGACTTGGCGTATTAGACTGTAAAAGGCTTCATTAACTCCAGCATAATTACCTGCTGCAGATACCTCGCTGAAGTCACAACCGTATTGCGTAGAGAGTTCGTTTCCGTCTTCAAATGACACCTGTCGGCCTAGTTCCAAATCTCTTTTGTTGCCTAACAACACGACAGGAATATACTGGGGAGCTTTCAAACGATGTATTATATTAAGACAGTCCTGAGCTCTGTTGAAACTTTCCCGGTCACAGATACTATAAATAACAACACAAGCGTCTGCAGATTGAACCTCGTCGATAGGCAAACAGTCATCCTAGTTGCAGTAAAATAACAAACAATAAGGAAAATAATAATTAAATAATGCTTGTTTCAGTTTAAAGTAAGAATCAAAGACACTAATTAATGGTTTAATATTATCGACGTTTGTATAAGGAAAAGCTTCCACTTATTGTACGCAAAGTTTGGGTTGAAACTGAAACAAATATAAAGAAAAAACGACAAAAATCTACAGATTTCATTACAAATAAAAAAAAAGTATTAAAAATTGATACTTGTGTAGGAAAGAAATACACAAAAATATCAATTAGTTGTTACCATGCTAAACTAACTTGCACACAAAAATATAAATTAATGGTTAATATGGTAAACTAATTTATGCCCAAAAATAAACATTAGGGGTTAACGTGGTAAAATAATTTAGAGAGTGATATTTCAGTAACTATATTTTGAGTCACAATTTCGTACCTGCACACAATTCAACTTTTAAACAAATCATTTAACATTCTTTACAACTAAAGTAAACATTGATTAAACTACACCTCTTAAAATTAGCTTGAGTTGTTTTATCTAAAATAGGAACTTGTCTCAGCGATTTATGGGATTAGCCATCCCAGATATATACCTTATATATCTTTTAAATACGGTAACACAAATACAACATATGTTTCCAAAAAATAAGTTAACACCATTCAAGTGCATTAAATTAAATTAAACTGAAAGGAGTTGGCATACAATTCTATTGATATCACACGTTAAAGATGTTTGTTGCTCCAGAAGAAGAAAAAAGGGACAGCGATTCACAAGATAATACGAATTAAGGATATGAAGTAAACCAGTATTCAGTGAACAACAGAAATGTCACTGGGATCACATACCGACCAGCGGGAAATGTCTAGGATCTCCACCTCGCTAGCAGTCTCATCACATGTCACATTGTGCTTGTACAACCAATCTGTGAGGGAAGTATATCAAATGAATTTATCTTATTTTCGAAAATTCTCATTACACAGATGACTAAGTTAATCGTGCATTACATTTCAAGTGTGGTACATACAGCATCCTGGCATACGAATACGAGCAGCTCCGAAGCCAGTAGTATTGCCCGAAATACACAAAATACTTTCACGCCCGTGATGCCCGCCATGGCCAAGCGATTAGGGCACTTGACTCTCAATCTGAGGTTCGATGGTTTGAATCCTCGTCCCACTAAACATGCTCGCCCTTTCAGCAGTGGGGACGTTATAATGTGACGGACAACCCCACTATTCGTTGCTAAAAGAGTAGCCTAAGATTTGCCGGTGGGTGGTGATGACTAGGTGCCTTCCCTCTAGTCTTTCACTGCTAAATCAGGGATGGCTAGGGCAGATAGCCCTCGTGTAGCTTTGCGCGAAATTCAAAACATACAGACATTCACGCCCGTGACATATAATTCTACTGAACATGAAAAAGTCGAAACCAGGTACTGATGCGTCTCTTCAGTTTGGTGCTTGTATTGTATCATAGATCAAAATCAACTCTGTGGCAAGACTGCTCATTTTATTTTGCCAGAACACTGTAGTAACTTAAAATAGCTATGAAAATGGGTATCGTTAGATAAGTATCGACACACCGGCTATGTCTCATATCTTTAATTCAGCACGCTTCACGCAGCGTATCATAAATCATGTTGATTAAGCAGAGAACTAGCCTAATCCTGTTAAAATCTGAAATATTTCGGATGATTTTAAATAGAGTGCCCTAAATTAATTTCCTTGTTAAAGTCAACAAGATAAGTGCAAGTGTCTTTTCTTTAGTTATATTAAAAAAAGGATATCTAACTAAACCTTTATGTCTTAGATATTAATAAATATATTATTTCTTACATCGAATTACTGTAAGAAATTGTAATGTTACAGATTTTACAAGTTTTTCTTTTACAATATTTCCAAGTTTTAACACATTAAAAAATACAAGTACTTGACAAATGATAAAAAAACAATCTTTTTTTTACTTCATCAGTAAAAACAAACATTCAAACCATTCCCTAGACAGTCCAAAAGAAAACAGAAAGAAATCATGAAAAATTCATTTTTTGAGACATCTGTCCCGTTTTTGGACAGAAGACAAACTTTACATTACGATGAATGACGAAACAGAGCAAGAAGCAATTAAAGAAAGCTGTCGACATATAAACTAACTACAACTGTGTACTTAACTGAAGCCGCGTATGTGTTTATAAAGCTCACTCCGATGGTTGACAGACATTACTTTTGCCTCAGATCTACAAGTGCGCTGAACTTTGTAGAGCTCATGAGAACAGAGTGCGACTTGCATGAATAACTTAATAATTGAAATAAATATATATTTATAATATACATTGTTTTATTTTTTATTTTTACAGGCTTATAGTAAGAAACCAAATTCGTCTTTTATTTTACCTCAAACTTATGAGTTTATTTAGACAAAGATCTTCGCATGTGATAGGCAAAAAGCGGTTAAATTCTGTGTTACACATAAGATAAAGGGCGATTATCTTTCCTTTTATTAAAATAGAATTTAACCTAAGTATGTTATTATGCATATTTATTTTTGATACTTTGGAACTTTTTGATATTAACTATTAAAACTTTTGGTTATAAATATTAGGGAGAGGATTCTATTTACTAACACAGCATTGTTAGTTGTTAATTTGCTCTTTAAAACTAACGATACGCAAACAATTAAGGCTTAAGAAGGAATACAAATTTACATTACAAACCTGTGTTAGAACGGTATTCGCCAATGTAACGCTGGGTCAGAAAACGAACTATCACGGCTGAAAAAAACAAACATCCGTATCATTATATGAATTTCTTCTACTTCTGTTTAGTTCTACAAAAGTAACATTTGTTCTGTTTCTGGTCTTATCAGTACATTAAAATTCTTACTATGAAACCTTACTCATAAATAACTATTTAGCTATTTACCGAGAGTTATGCTATTACAAACAAATGAAAACTTAATTTTAATTTTAAAAGAGAAAAGAAAATTGCATCGCACTTGTTAGATATACAACACTATTTCATTTAAATTTAGTACAAGAGTGTTAAGTTTAGTATTTTTAGAAGCGATAATTTAGCGCAGGTTTGCTTACGTAAATGTTTATGAATCATTTGTTGTGTAATTCAGTTGTTGTGAAGTAACGTCATATTATTCGAACCTTTGAGTATTTTTACATCATAACGTCTTGTAATTTGTAGAGAGCACTAGACCTCAGTTGGGAATATATATATATATATGACCAAGCTAGTGCAAGAAGTAAGTAAAAATGAAATTAAACTGCGTGGGAATTTAGCCATAATGGGCGATTTATAAAATGAGTATCACAGCCTTGTATTTTAAGAACAGAGTAGAGGAGAATAATTGGTGTTGTCAAAAGGTGTTCTAAAGTAATTGAACCTGCCTGTGTCGACTTTAACGAAAATAGGACAATTATTTAAAGCTCTGGATACAACAGTGATAACCAACACTGTAACAAAGTTTGTACATACGTTTGACTTGTTTTGAATATATTATTTTAAAACAAATGGATTATGTGCTGTCTGTTTATTGTTAAAATTTATCTCCAATAAGTCACAGACACCTACTGTAAAGGATCGGGCCCTATAAAACCTTGACGTTGAGGAACCAACCAGGATTATACCGTTGTAAATGGTGATAGAAGAAGATGTGAATGACAGTAGAAGTAGGCCTATATGTGTACAACTGTAGTGGTGGTGAAAATAGTGTAGAGATTACAATCACATTATATAACCATGTCGACTGATTTTCATAAATACTTAGAGAAAGATGAAGGACTTGGGATAAAAGAGTTTGTTAAACTACAACAAGAACTAAAGAGAGAAGAGTGGCAACAGAAGAGAGAGGAGGAGGAACAGAGAGGAGAGGAAGAAAGACTAAAAGAAGAAAATGAAAGAAAGAAAAGACTAGAAATAAGGAGAATAAGAGCATAAACTGAGATCGCTAAGCTCAACCCAACAGAAAGATGAAGGACTAAAGAATTACAATGGGGTCAGGGCTAGTTGACCTAAGCTGCTCACATCTAATGAACAGAAAGACGACATGCATAGTTTCCTTGGTTAGATATGAAAGATTTGACCACATTTAGAATTAGGATAAAGGCGACTGGGCAGTCTGTCTCAGCCCACTTCTCCCACTATAGACATGACGTCAGAAGATACCATGGACTATGACAAGTTAAAAGTGGTGTTGCTAAAATGCTATGAACTTATCGAGGAAGGTTTTGCCGGAAATTCAGAGAAGTCAAACCTGATACTAGAGAAACTGTATTTCAGTTTGTGGCTGGTCTATGGTGATACTTCACAAGATGGACTGATATGGCCAAGTGTGAAAAGAGTTTTGAAGGACTGGCAGATCTACTAATACGTGAACAGTTCATGATCACGTGCTCAACTGACATGCCACTTTTCATAAAGGGGAGAGCACCAAAAAGACGTGGATGAGACGATCAAGTTGGCAGAACAGTATATGGAAGCTCATGGAGAGAGTATAACTTGCAAGTTCAAGAATAACCAGTTAAAGTCGAAAGCAGGGGAGGCTGAACCAGAAGCAGAATGCCACTAAAGGTGACACAAAGTCAACAGACAAAAGGGAGAAGAGATGATATGCTTTTTATAAAGTGAAACGCATTACAAGTGAGTGCAGGTCTCTCACCAACAAGCAACAGAAGATATCTCAACAGAAAGCAAAGAGATGCTATGCTTGTTATAAAATGGGGCACATTCCAAGAAAATACAAGTCTGTCACCAACAAGCAACAGCAGAAATATCAACATAAAACAGCTGGAGCTACCTGCAAAGATGGGGCTGGCAAGAAACAAGAAAAGAGTGACTGTAACCATGGATGCTGCTGCCAAAAGAAACAGAATCAAGACAACTCGTTAGATTTACAACAAGAAGAAAGTGCTATCACCATGATTAAACAGTGCATGATTGATGGCCAGCTCAAGTTAGCAAATGGATCAACAGTGCCGGTGATGACTGCAGCATGTGACAAACATCAAGAAGTGCCAACAAATCACAACATGCCGATAGGTGAAGGTTATGTTGGGAACAAGGAAGTGAAGGCACTACAAGACACTAGGTGCAGTAGTGTAGCAGTGAGAAGCAGTCTAGTATCTGATGGCCAGATGATGGGCAAGGTACACCTTTGTGTGCTGATTGATGGGACAGTGAGAAAGTTACCCATTGCAAGAATAAAGGTGGACACTCCTTATAATGCGGGAGCCCCTGAGACCATGTGTATGAAGGCACCCATCTATGATTTGCTGATTGGAAATATACCAGGCAATAGAAGTTTGGAGAAACCAGACAAAAACAGAAACTAATGAAGCACCTGCAATCACCACTAGAGCTTAAGAAAAGAAAAGCAAGCAAGACATTAATCCCCTGCAAGTCTCGAAAGGTGACATCTCAAATGTAGCTCTACAGAAACTGAAGGAAGCACAGAAGAAAGACCCTTCAATGCAGAAACTTTGAGACAGTGATCGGGAAAAGGTCGAGAACACGACAAAGGATAAGGACTTACAGAATATAGGATCATAAGTGAGTGCTGTATCGGATCTACTATGGTAGTTATACTGGGGAAGTTAAACAGATCATAGTACCAACAGAATACTGGACTCAAGTGATTATGCTGGCTCATGAGTCGATTGTGGGAGGACATCTAGGAGCAAAGAAAATGGTAAACATAATCACCAGCAACTTCCATTGGCCAGGGATCATCGGAAGTGTGACCAGATTCTGCAGGTTATGTGACATTTGCCAAAGGACAGTAACAATAGAGAAGGTAGCCAAAGTGCCACTGGGTGAGATGCCTCTCATATAAAAGCCATTCAGCAGAGTAGCTGTAGATGTGATTGGACCACTAGCTCCTGTTTCTGACAAGGGCAACCAGTATGTGCTGACAATTGTCAACTATGCAACACTTTATGCAGAAGTCATAGCACTGCCAACGATAGAGATGGAGAGAGTAGCAGAAGTCCTCCTGGAAGTGTTCTGCAGAGTAGGCTTTCCAAAAGAAGTCATGAGTGACAGATGGACCCAGTTTACTTCAGAACTGACGCAAAAGGTGTGCAGACTCATCAGCACTAGGCAACTCTTTACCACCCTAAACAACCCTAGATGTAATAGAAGTCAATAGATGTCAATGAAGTCTTAAAGAGCAAGCTGAAAATGATGTGCTAGAAGACACCGCGTGATTGGGACAGGTAACTTCAAGCAGTATTATTTGCTTACCGAGAAGTCCCACAAACAAGTACAGGTTTTTCACCCTTGGTTCTGCTACCTACAAACAACAACAATCTCACCCTGTAGGAGGAGGTCCACAGAATGGACTACAAAGTGAAAGTGGATGGAAAGATCAAGATCTACCACGCCAATCTGTTGAAGAGGTACTTCAAGAGGGAAGAACACCTAATGGGTGCAGCTACTGAGATGCAGAACTGGATAACAGTGACTTTGTCATAGAAGCTGAAAACCTACTAGATCTAAGACCGCTGGGTGGAGATGAGACATAAAAAGACGTCAACGTAAGTGAAGAACTGACTGGCAAACAGAAGAAAGACCTACAAGAGCCACTGTACTAGTATGCAGATATCTTCACAGATAGACCAGACAAAACAGACCTTGTGCAATACAATATCAAAATGATGACCAGGGTCCAGTCAAAGTGAAACCTACCAGATTCACTATGTGATGAGAGACCAACAAGGGAATTACAAATGTTGGTGTACATCATAAGAGGAGACAGTGTATGAACCGAAAAAGGTTTTTGTATATAGTGTAAAAAATTTAAATATTTTTTCTTGAAGAAGGGCTTATTGTTAGATATACAAGACTATTTCATTTAAATTTAATGTGAGAATTATGATTTTGGATAGTTATAAAGCATGAATGTTAAATTTCATATTTTTAGAAGAGATAATGTATCGCAGGTTTGTTTATGTAACAGTTTACAAATCATTTGTTGTGTAGTTAAATTGTTGTGCATTGACACACCTTACTCGAACCATCTGAATTTTTCTCGTTGGTTTAAGTGAGTATTGTTACATCATAACGTCTCGCAGTTTGTAGAAAGTTCTAGGCCTCAGTTGGGCAATATATATAGGTGACTAAGTTAGTGCAAGAAGTAAGTAAGTGAAAGTGAAAGTAAAAGTGAAGTTATACTGTGTGTGAGTTTAGCCATAATGAGCGATTTATAATGTGAGTTTCGGTGCTTGTATTATAATAAAAAGATAGAAAGGAATAATTTGTCTTGTCAAAAGGTGTTCTAAAGTAATTGAACCCGCCTGTGTCGACTTTGACGAAAAAGAGAGACAATTCTTTAAAGCTCTAGATACAACTTGGATAACAAATAGTGTAATGAAGTCTTGTGCATACGTTTGTTTTGTTTTGAATATATTATTTTAAAGCAAGTGGATTGAGTGCTGTCCGTTTATTGTTGAAATTTTTCTCCAACAAGTCACAGACTCCTCCTGTAAAGAATCTTGCCCAATAAAAACTTGACAGCAGTGACTACAATTTGCCGCTTACTTGTCACGCTTGTAGTGCATATACATCATTGTGTACAGATGTTGAGACTGATGTGCAACATATACAATTCAAGAAAACACTATCCCAACAGGAATAAAGAGATCAGGAAGCCATTCATCTATTCGATGTATGCCAACAAGTATATATGTTGCCATAGATACACTATATTGTACTGAATACAGGTTAATCATTTACTGCTATATAGGGAGTTAATTGGACGTGT